GCTTGTATTCTTCGCTATGCTCAGTAATACCGACAGAGCTCGCTTCGCTCACTCTGTAGTCGCTCGCTCCAGCTAACGCCTCCAGCTCCGCTCTTCAACCCATTCTTTACAAAAATCCATAATATGTTTAAATGCATGATTTCCTTGATACAATCCTGTGATATTTAACGTAGCTCCTTCTTAAACTGCTACTATATTTATTCTAGTGATAGTGACTGTCATATTTTCTCCAGAAACAGCAGAATTGGGTTTATAAAAGGCAGTAGTAATTTCATTTGAAAATGTATCTTCGCATTGAGTGAGTGAAAAGTTAATGATAGAAAGGATGTAGTAAATGCGATGAGGGTCAAAAATATTGAAAGAGCAAAGAATCGATGCATTATTTTTTTTGATAACTTGAGAAAAATAAGGAATATTTGGTTGACAGTTATTTAATGCCATTGTGGAAATAAGGTTAGATGGATCAAAATGCCTTTTTATATTTTTCAAATTTAATATTATTTTACTTTTTGAGTTATGTTAAAATCATAAAATAATCGAGCAATAAAATAAAATAAATGCTATTAAGCTATTCAACATATGGATTTTCAATCCTTCATTATAGTTTTTTCCTTTAACGAACAAATGGACTTTATATGTAAGTTCGATCCAACACATGCAGTCCCTACAACCATAATGAGATGTAATAAACAAAAATCATTATTATCTTGGAATTATTTTGATTAAATTTGGCATATTTGGCAGCATGATGTTGATGGACGATGTGGCTTTGTGAATTAGATTTGCAATACATATTGTTAAAAATTAAGCAATGTTGCATGCTATATTGATGATCAGTGTAGAAAATTCAGCATCAGAGTTGTGGGTAGGCTGCATATTACATATTTATCTTGGTGCGCTACAGCGCACATAAGCTTTTTTTAAATGTGCACAAAACAAATAGCTTAAATATATAGGATTTTATAATTTATTGCATGGTGCAATGGGGTTTTCCATATACTAATTAATCAAAACTATGTTAGGTATAATAGTAAAAATTGATAGTACAGATTTTTATGACAATACCTCTTGTTATTTAGCCAATAAAATTGTACACAAAATATCACCTGTAACTTGTCGAATAGAATTTCAAGATCTCTGTGTAACAGATTAAGACTATCGCTATCGCTACGTTCACTATTTTTTAATGTTAACATATGTACGTTAAATAATAAAACTTATTCATTTAAATTTGACAGGTATACAATGCTTCAACGAACTTTATTTGAGTTTATCTACTTAATATTATAACTGACACAATTTTAATTAAACTTAAGCACATTAAAAGAAGACTGTAGAAATATCAACTTTAAGTATTTACGTCTATATTACGTCTATATTAAATAACATTATAATGAATAATAATCTAATAACTTTTTTGAATTTTAGGAAATTACAACTTTAGCGAGGCATAAATAATTTTTTAAAAAGGTCGTCAGCATCCTGTCTATCCGACTGAAGAGAAGTGGTAGAATTTTGTTGGTATATAATTCTATTTTCACTTCGAATATCCTTAAGTTGTTTATGATTAAACTGATATTCTTTTATTTCAGTTGCTGAAAGACGCATCTTGGATTGTTGAGTATTATTAGTCATTTTTGGATGAGTTTTTAAGTCTCATTTGTTGAATAGGCCCTCAACTTGTTGTTGATGGACGATAATATACCAGATTTTGTTTTTAACAAAATCGTAGAGCTGAGGGTATTGGTGAAGTTGAACATCTGATTCTCTAACAAATGTACTAAATTCTTGAAAAAAAGATTCTTTAGCTAAAGCAGTTTTAAGTCCGAAGTCATCGAATCTTTTTTGGTTTATGTCCATTTCAAGAAATCACGCATAACTAAGTTCTTTTAAAGTAGGAAACTTGGGCCAAGGTTTTTTAAGCATGATGTGCCAATAACTGCGTGCAAATTGTTGCGCATTATTTCCACCAAGACGACACATGCTCAAAGGAAGATGGAGCCAACAATTTAACTATTTTTGGTGTAATTTGAGCCCTTTCTGTATTCCATTTTCCAACTTTTGGACCAATAATTCAATTTTTGAATTATCCAAAATTTCCGTACTTTGTAAAAGTTCGTCTCCAAAAAATAAGTAAAGATTTTCTACGATGTTTGCGAGTTTACATGTTGAATTAATGATGAAGTCCGGCATTTGA